CCCCAGGCTCTCCCAGCGGAGTAATTGTCCCATTCCATAGGCATCCAGTCTGGGCAGGCTGATCGTTGTCGTGGGACGTTGATCGTCTGCGTAGGCTTTATTGGTTCCTGAAATCGCTGCCTCAAGTAGTTCAGGGACAGACTTCCCTGCGATACGATTCAGTTGATCCTGGTCCTGATCAGCAGGCATTTCTGGGAGAGAGACATTGTCGCTCGCAAATTCTTCAATGACCAGATTGTTGATGACGCGATCACGTTTCCCTTCCTGGTGCTGTTGGCCACGGCTATGCAGGTCTCGGGTGTTCACGACGGTGAGTGGTGTCGCTCCCCGCTCTGCCTTGCCGAGGCTCTCAGCCAGTAATTGATCGTACCAGAATCCAGCCGCCTCCAGTCGATTCCCCCAAGTCGAGAGGACCCGCATATCCATGCCATGGTCTCGTTCCAACAAGTGGTTGACTGCAATGTAATCCAAAACCGGGTTTTCACCTAACGGCTTCGTGCGGCAGGTTTCAGTAATGTCAGCTGCCCCTTGCAGCATCGCTGTGATGTCCATCCCTAAGACCGCAGCTGGAAACAGACCGACAGCCGTGAAGACAGAAAACCGTCCTCCAACACCATCTGGAATAGGGAACGTTGTTTCGTAGCCGAGCGATTTCGACAGGTCGCGCAGCTTCCCCTCTTCTCCTGTGACCGGAATTACAAACTTGCATGCTTCTTCTGAATCGGCTCCGTAATACTCTTCTAAGGCATTACGGAAAACTCGAAATGCCGCTGCTGTTTCCAGAGTCCCACCAGACTTACTGATAACAACAATTCCCCAGCGTTCAAGTAACTCTTTGGGGTTCTGACATTGGCTCTTTAGTAAGCCAAGCAATGAATTCATTGTGTCGTTGTCGAGATTGTTTCCCTCAAAGTAGAGCTTTGGGACATCTCCTCGCTGTTCTCGAAGGAGTTCGTTGTGGTAAGGATCACACAACGCTTCAAACAGCGCTCGCAATCCCATGTATGAGCCACCGATTCCCAGCACCACCAGACTGTCAATTTGCTCCTGAAGAGTTTTCGCAGAGCTGAGCATGCTCTCTAGTAAGCCATCTTCACCCGCGAGCAACCGCTGTGGCAGATCGATAAATCCACTATCAAGCGGCTGCTTTGCGTCGGGAATCTCTTGACCTGATCTCAGCAACTCGACATCGGCATAGGCATCGTCACGAGCCGCTTGCAGTGATTCCGCCAAGAGTGGAAGTTGTTTTCCGACAAGAAAGTCAGCTGCTGAATGATCAAAAGTAATCTGCTTGGACATTGGTCGATCTCAACTTATGAATCTGAATTTCGCTTACGATAAATGCAACTATGCTGATGGCGGAGTAATCCCAAAGTCCTCTATTGTGAGTAAAGACTGCATTGAGTAGCCCTTTTGTTTGAAATTCTGAGCACCACCTTCCATGCGGTCGATGATGGTCAGGACTTGTGTCACTTCGCAGCCAAAGTCTTCAATCCGTTCAATCGCCAGCAGCGAACTTCCTCCGGTTGTCACAACATCCTCAACAATGGCGACTTTCATGCCGGCTTTGACTGGGCCTTCGACGAATTTGTTAGTTCCGTGCCCCTTTGATTCTTTGCGGATCATGCAGCCCAGCAAGTCAACTCCTCGCTCAGCAGCGACGGACAACACACCGGCGATAATCGGATCAGCTCCAATGGACATTCCGCCTACGGCATCCACATTCTCCAGGTCCAGCAGATCAAATAAGCCTTCACTGACCAGTCGCAAACCCTCTGAGTGCAGGGTGATTTGTTTGCCATCGAGGTAGTAACTTGCTTTTTTCCCTGATGCCAAGGTGAAGTCACCGAATTTCAGTGCACGTTCTCGAAAGAGTTCCTGCAGACGCCCCTTATCGTACATAATTCCTGCCTTAGATAGTTGTCCTGCTATTTCATTCCAATGCTAACGCGTTGAAATCGAATTGAAAACGGGCAACGCATCTTTCATCTTGTAAACTTCGCGACTCCCAAAGTTGGTCGAATTGAGATGTGTGCGGGCAGAATTACTCTCATTTTTTGCAATTTTTGCAACGTGAAATGATCGCTGATTGATCAACGTCGAACGATCTTGACCTAAATTAAAGAATTCGGGTACAGATTGAAAAAATTACTCGCAGGTTCAGTTCTGCGAGATCGATCTGCTAACACCTATTCTCTCGCCCACGGATGGAGCCTGAACATGAGTGAAATGAATCACTCTCCTGAGACCACAACCCCGCATTCAGTCGTTGAACCGACATTACCACCAACAACCAACCGCACCTCCTGGCTCAGCTATCTCGCTGGGACGGTTGTACTCGTTGCCATTGCTGGAGTCTGCTTCCAGTTTTTCAACGCGAACACCGCAGTCTCTCAAACAGAAGGGACGGCAGCATCAGGGAAAGCAACTCTCAATGCGTCGTCTGGAAAAGTGCTGGCCAAGGTCAACAACCAGTC